CTACATAATTTAAATTTTTGTATCCGTTTGCAAACTATAAGATCACGAAATTTTATCTGGGATACTGATATAATAGATTATATGTATTTTTTTCAGGTTTATGGAGAAAGTTCGAGGTCAAGAATCAACTTGGTCAGAGGTCTAATTTTGATTAATTAACTGTAACTTGAAATCAATTCTGCTTAAATTCTTCTGTTGAGTAGGCAACGTTGGAAATAAATTTTATATTGGAAAATTACAAAAAATATTTGGATTTGGTTCATAGTTGTAAAGATCACTCAACTTATATTCTGGTATATGTAACCAAGTTTTATAACAAATGAAATACATGGATGTTACATACTTACCTAGGTACATGTTGAAAATTTTAATACACTTTTTGCGCAGGTCACAAAAAAAATAATTTCTTTCAAAACGGTTGTCTACGCAGATGGCTGTGAAAATTAGAAATAAAGTTGACAGTATATCGAGTCTAATAATTTTGAAATTATGAAATTCTTTGTTGACATTATTCAATTGTTTTGTCAGAAACACGTGTGTTAGTCCGTGAAGCTCATTTTACTTTTTACTTCCCGAGCGTAAGCAAAGGAAGTATTGTAATCGAGTCCGTCGGCCGACTCTCTACTTTTACGTTTTCTCGATCTTTCATGACCCCTAGAAGACGAAGAAATAGGTCTCCCATTTCCGTCTGTCTGTCCGTCCGTCTGTCCGTCCGTCTGTCCGTCCGTCTGTCCGTCTGTCCGTCTGCCGTCCCGGATTTTTATTAGACAGATAATCTCCGAAAGTACTCGACCGATTGTTGTGAAATTTTGTACTTATATTAAGAATATCATGTAGATGGTAAAACGCTAACCAAAATTTGTCTAATCATCCCCACCACTAATGCGATGACGTCACTTCAAAATTGTACATAGTAAATGGGTTTTCAATTGTATAAAATAACACATGTAGTTTACAACTTTGAATCGACTTTTCACCCGAAACGTCCAGATTTTTGGAAAAAAAATCAAAATTATAAAACAACATTTTGAAATTTAATTTTTAATCTGCTAACCAGAATGCTTTGAAATGTTGCAGATGTTTTAAGGCTATAAAGAGCATCATAAATCTTTAGTCAAAAAATATTTGCTTATCCCCTCCAAAAACTTGATGACGTCAGCTCAAAAGTTTGTGGAATAAATCATATCTAAAATGTACAAAATATGATGAGTCTGTACTTGTGATCTATCACTCCATTCATATTTTTTGGATTTGCATATACAGGGTGACTCAAAAAAATTAATGAATGCATAAATATATTTTATTGATTTAATCAGGAACTACAAAACCGAATGCTCTGAAATCTTGCAGATGTTTTAAGGTCATAAAGAGCATAATAAATGTTTAGTCAAAATATATTTGCTTATCCCCTCCAAAAACTTGATGACATCAGCTCGAAAATTTGCCGAATAAATCATATCTAAAATGTACAAAATATGATCAGTCTGTACTTGTGATCTATCACTCCATTCATATTTTTTGGATTTGCATATACAGGGTGATTCAAGAAAATAAATGAAAGCGTAAATTTATTTTACTGATTTACTCAGGAACTACAAAACCGAATGCTTCGAAATCTTGAAGATATTTTAAAATTATCATAAGCATGATAAATTTTTGATCAAAATGTATTTGGTCGTCCCCCTAAAAAATGTATGACGTCACCACAAAATTTTGCTGAATAAATCCCATCTAAAATGTACAAAATATGGTGAGTCTCTTCTTGTGATTTATCATTCCATTCAAATTTTTTCGATTTGCATATACAGGGTGACTCAAAAAAATTAATGAATGCGTAAATTTATTTTATTGATTTAATCAGGAACTACAAAACCGAATGCTTTGAAATCTTGCAGATGTTTTAAGGTTATAAAGAGCATAATAAATTTTTAGTCAAAATATATTTGGTTATCTTCTACAAAAAACTGATGACGTCAGCTCAAAAGTTTGCCGAATAAATCGTATCTAAAATGTACAAAATATGATGAGTCTGTACTTGTGATTTATCATTCCATTCATATTTTTGGATTTGCATATACAGGGTGACTCAAAAAAATTAATGAAGGTGTGAATTTATTTTATTTTATCGATTTAATCAGGAATTACAAAACCGAATGCTTTGAAATCTTGGGAATATTTTAAAGTTATTATAAGCATGGTAAACTTTTGTTCAAAATGTATTTGTTCATCCCTCCTAAAAAAATTGATGACGTCACCCTTAAATTTTGCTGAATAAATCCTATCTAAAATGCAAAAAATATGATGAGGATTTATCATTCCATTCATATTTTTTAGATTTTCTGAAGAGGTGGTTCAAAAAAATTAATGAAGTCAATTTATTTTATTGATTAAATTAAAGGCAACACTTATTATTAGTATTACACCCCAACCAACCCAATTTGGTAGACACAAAATTTGTTAAAGGAAAAACTCGGTTGAAACATAAGGGTAGCACGCTTATTTACATCGACTTTAACATTACAGACCTGCATTTGTTTTATGCGCTCACTTGGTTCCGCGAATGTGAAATAGACATGTTTATAATCAACCAATTGTGAATTTCACCGTCAAGAATTAAAATAAAACCCAATGTTTTATATAATAAGCGGAAGTCGAAGCAATAAAACCGATGGTCGTTTTGTTTACAGTTTCTCTGTTTGACTCTCACGTATGCTGTTACGCCTGTCATCTTAAATTAAGAATGTTTATACATACACGATTTTCAGTTGCCTCTGATACGTATACGTGAGTAAATTGTTTCGTTATTTTATTGATTATTACAAATCAATATTCAAAACGACCCAATTCATTTTCCCGAAAATTTGAGAATATAATCATTTTATTCTTAGTATTACACTACATCTATCCCAACTGATATACGTGTCCTTGCAAAAATGTTGATGACGTCATCGCAATTTTTTTTTAATTCCCACTACAAAAATGTAATGAGAAAAAAAAACACAATAGGCATGCAGTCGTCAAGTTTCCGACAGCGAGGGAAGTACTGTCTAAACTCTTTAGACCAATTTTTTTTTTGTTATCTTAAATTCTCTCTTTGCGGCTTTTAAAAATTATAACCTCAAACTGATGAAATTGACATCTTAGTTACATTTTTGTAACGAACTCTGTGGGTTTTGATTAATCATGACATTCATGACCGACTGCGTTGACAACCATTTTGAAATATTATACCGATATTATATGTATTTTAATAGAAATTTAAACACTAGTACACTAAAAGATACATTGTTAGAGTCAGTAGTGTTTGGCTATATTATTGTTAAAAACGAAAACAAAATTTTGAATAGTTTTTAAAAACATGACGTTATGAAGAACCAAAAAACGCAATTTTATAATTATGAAAATAATGCAATTTACTACGAAATCTTAATAAATAAAAATTAACACGAACAGAATAGATATGGAATGACAAAAATTTTATAATAAGTTTTACAAGAATCATAATTATACCGTGGTCAAAAATCTGTGACCACTGAAATCATATAGACTATATCTATATGATTTCATATAGACTATATCTATATGATTTCAGTGTCTGTTACAAATTCTCTCAAGTAAAATGTTGTGCTTACGCATGGGTTTTCTGCATTGCCAACTCAAAATCGAACACGTATACTTCTAAAACAATACAATAAATTTACAGCATACTGTTATCTAAGATTACATAAGAACATGACGGTTAAGTTTATCTAAAAGGATCTCCGTAAAGTTTAGTACCCCCGATAGTATGGTGGGAGTCAAATGATTAAAAAATTACAACTCTGAAACTAGAAAATTTGTGATACTAAGATGCTCCCCAGTTTTAGTTAAAAAAATAAATAAATACATAAATATTGGCAATAGTAATTCTGCGACCTTTTATGTGTGCCTAAACTGATGTGGCGCTGGTAATGGTTTGTTATGGATGGTTTTCTGATTAATTTCAAACAAATACCAACGGATGACGCTTGAAATTGTTTGTTGATAAAAATCAGAAAATCCAACCGTCCCCATTTTTACAAAACCTTGTTCTTATCTTAGAGGAGGTAGTACCCAATGTTATCATTATCAAATCGGTTTGAATTTTTGGAAACCAAATTACTACATAATTCGAGAATTATTTGTAACATAAATGATCTCATAAACTTTTACAAATTGTTATGTAAAGTTTGACGAAAGCTATAGTGCGCTTACGGCTTTCACACAGACAGTTAAACAGACCATGTGTCGTACTGGAGTAATTTTTATTTGTTACTCTTACAATAGGAGAAGGACCCAGGCAAGCCGTTTAATTGTCCCCACTGCGACGAGGTCGTAAAAATTATCGCAAGTTAAGTAACTGTTAAGTCACTATATTTTTCGTCGCAGTTTACGTATATTTACTACTGTAATGCAGTACTTATATCTAGATCATGTGAAATTTCAGTTGAATTAAAAAATGGATTTGATTTATATGTGCAGTACTTGTACGCAAAGGTGTCCTGTCACTCTTTCTTTATTAATTTTAAAAGAATATGTCTTAATTGCCGCATTGCCACTCGTGTTCGATGTCATAAAAATTTATTACATTTTGTACTTGTATCTTGTATCGAATATTTTGTCCAAATATTCAATTATTGACTCACATTTAATATCGTAAGTGTAACATAAATGATCACATAAATGCATAAGCGCATTAAATTTAAAAAGCATGTCAGAATTTCTGGAATTTAGTCATAAAAATAGCGGAAACAAAATCATACGATGGTTCGTCATCCAATAATAAAGGTTCCCCACCGAATTTTCAAACTATCCAATTACCATTGCAATTATACAACCATAGTGGCGTGATCCACTGTGTCACAAAAAAAACCGCAAACCACACTTTACCCCTTCCTTTTTCCACACGTTAGGCCACAGGTGCGATAGAGCGATAGAAACTACTACGTGGACCGGACTTGAAAATAGTAAAGTGGTAACGTTGGCGCCACGTTTAGGTTCAACTCAGCAAAAGCTGACAGAACCATTCAGTCGCTCCATAAGCGTTGGAAGGTGTAGTCGTTTTCGTGGTTAACTCTTCGTCCACGTGACTAACGAAACCGAAAGTGCACCCTCAGGAGTCGATTCGATATTGTTTTAACGTGTTTGTGCCAGCCACCGGCCTATTATGAATAACGTGTTTAAACAAATCAAACGCAGTTTTGCTGTCTTTTCAGCGCTTTTTATCACAGGTGAGTTGGTCACAAAAATGTCGACGAGTTTTTTTTTTCGTGTTTTTGCAATAGTGTGTAGGCATCGGGGAAAATTAAAAGAGAACAATTCTTGCATAATGACTTTAATATTGTACACCTGTGTGCAGAAAAAAGCGCACAAGCTCTTAGAGCAAAAGAGCAAATTTTGTAATTTTTAATCTATGTGGAAATGGCTTTACATTGTTGCTACTACTTTGCCATATACATATACCGCATTTCAGATTAAATATCTATTAATTAAATATTAAATTAACTACACAAGTGAGATGTAACTGTATGCTTTTTCATTGAACACAAATATATTAGTAATGGGAGTGGTGACTTCTGAAAAATGTGTAGCAACTAGATTACATATTTTGTTTATAAAGTGTAGCTGCCTTTGCCGTAACCTTTCCAATAGATGCGGTGTAAACAGTGATTTTCTTAAATTATAGCAGTCATTTTTAAATATGAGCGGTAATATAGACAACAGGGTATAGTTCACAATTTTTCTCAACAAAATTGTAACATTTTAGAAAAAAATTGCAAATAAGTTCGTCATTGTTTGATTACAAGTTGTAATGTGTACATTTCTTTACGCAATTAGCTTTTTTTTAACTTTTTTTAATGGAAGTTATAATGATAATGAGGCATACTAAATACATTATATAAATATATAAGTTAACCTATTACTATGAAAGAGTTTTATAATATATTAAAAATTTAATTGTTATGCGTAATTTTTTCATTGGCCCAAAAAAAGATTTCATTAGACTGCTAATGAAGAAAGTAAGAAATTGTAGTCTAAAAAAGCCTCAAAAGTAGTTACACTGTTTTGTAATTTTAATGCAGTATGATTTGTATTAATGAAATGTGTATACAGACAGTATAGTTTTAACATATTTAATATTATAATATATATATTATTTAACATGGAACCCCCTTCGTCCAGTTGAATTAATTTAAATTATTGCAGGCATTTTTCTTCTTTTTGGGAAACTCACCTAGTCATATTTTTTCATATATTACACTTTTATATAAGTATTTATATTATATTTATTTTTATCTTGGATTGATTGCGTAAGCATCTAAATGTGCATTTCGATATATGATAGTTTAAACCACGTGTCACTATTATCCAATATTAGAATTTTGTTAACTAGACCTGCAATATATAAATCATTTTAGATAATAGTGACAAATTTTTACACCATAAAACTGTTGATTACATATGTATTAGTGTTTTTTGATTGTTTCAATAGTAACGTAACCGCCACGCGATTTTTTTTTACATTATAAGAATAATACAATTCTATCTATAACACGGACAGTTTATAATTTAACACGATACAGCCATTGAATGATCATATTTTGCTTTTTAAAGATTTTGTTTACAGCAGGTAGAACATTTCAAAAAATTTAATATTGTGTAAAAGATTGATATCATTGCTTGGTTTGTAGCAAATTGTTTATATAAATTTTGCCTCAGTATGTCAACGTGAAGCTGATGCAAAATAAATTTTGTGTTGGTTGAACAACGTTGAAATGTCTGTAAAATACGACTGCGGTAAAAATAATCAAGTGATACAATTTAGGCCCATTTCCTCTACAAAGTCAAGTTGATTTTTTAGAATTTATTACAGGACGAAAATTTAAAAACTTTTAACGAATTATCTTCGAGTTAAATGAAATGTTTTCGTGTCTTGATGATTTGTTTTTTAATCGCGAGTTAATAAGGGTTTAGGTTTTTATTGAAATTAAAAACGCTTTGCTTTTGGAGTAATTGATTGGCAGAAGTGCAAAATTCTCCTAACAAACCACGTTGCACAAATTGACATCGAGTTATGGTTCGAAAAGTGATTTTCTATATAATTAAGCTCATTTTGAGTGAAAGACGCCTTGATTTAAGGGCTTCCTATTGATTCGTGTCAATCTAATTTGGAGAAAATGTCACATTCACGTTACAAATGATGGTATCCGTCTCAGTTTATACTAACAATAAAAATAACTGGAATGATTCATCGTTTTTGGTTAAATAAAATTTTACATTCCCAAGGTAATAAATTACGCGAATCTGAAACTTTACAACTGAAGAAAATTAGGTAAATAATGCCACCCTGTCAGGATATCCTGAAAGCACAAAGTTCCTCCACTCCAATCGAAACAATTCCCGTCATATTATCTCAAACTTTTTCAATATCATACTGTACGCAACCGTGTTGCAATTTTCGCGTTTTTTCTCACGCTAGCAATCATCGAGCTTTGGGAAAAAATCAATTTACTGTTGTATTATTGTAGCATGATTTATGCCCACGCATTTTTTTTTATAAAATTGTAACATGCGTTCAAAATAATAGGCATCAACAGAGTACGTCAATGTTACGTGTCCAACATTTTTAGACGTATTTTTCTTGGTCTTGTTTACAAACGCGAAAATAGACTTTCCGAAGTCGCACTGTCAGCGAAACGAAAATTGGCACAAATGCAAATGTTTTTATTTGTTCGCATTAATAATTTCTTTAGCTTGATTAAAGTACCAAAACGGTGTGTTTCCGGGATGGGTATACGAAAAATGCTGATTATTTTAATTATTTTATTTTACATCGATAAAAATAATTATTTAGTTACTATATCCTTGTAACTTTCAGTTGGTAATCATAATAAAATCAAAATATCAAAACATCAAAACAACAAACAAAATATTTTCAGTTATTGTTTGTCTGGTCTTTTTCCATGGCAATTATGATTGAGTAAGCGACCAATAACATTCCATTAGCGCGAATTATTCCACTCGTAATCGGATGTTTTCTTCTTCGTCACTGTCTCAATTCTCGGGAAACCATACAAAAGAGTTCCTTCCATTTACATAAGAATTATCAATTGTTAAAATTTTTGCGTTTCAAGATAATTCTTAGTGATGGCTTGTGTAGAATTATCCTCTTAACACCGACGTATCTTCTGTTTACATTTTTTCGGAATAAAAGAGAAGGTTATCGTTTAATTTTTCTTGTTAATTATAAGAGATAATTTTTTTGACGCACCTTTTTTTAATCCTTCTCGAAATTTTAAAAGCACGGAGGAAAACATTATTAGCAGCTGTTATTTAGATAAGTAATTATTCTTCTCATCCACTGGAAAAACTTGTTAAATTTTATTTCACCATGCGGAATGTGCGACAAGCATATAAAAAATAGTTGTGTAATTTTAATGTTTCCGTCGGTCATAAAAAAGAGCAAATATTTTTAGCGCAGACTACATATTTTTAAAAAATGTTTTGTTAGTTTGACGTATACAATAAATTTATAGTTTTTGACGTTTGGTGTTGTATTAAAAAAAGAATGAGTATTAATGAAATTTAAACACATTTTTTCGTAACGGATGACTAGTTTTGGAGACTATAAAAATCCGAAATGTTCTTAATCGGCGAGTTACTGAAAATTTAGTACAAACCTAATTCCATAAGCATTGGCCTTGCAAAAAATGAAGTGATAATGCACGAATTAATCATTATCGTATATCGAGCCGGTATACTAAAGTTTTGCATAAAGCACTTTTATCAATTTGTTATCTAAATTGAAATGTAGACCGTAATTATCGCATTGCGAGGCAATGACAATCATCATTAATGGTTTTATTACATAACAATATTTGATACACATTACACATTGTGCTAGATTTATTATTGGCGATATCCCTATCATGTTAAAATTTATCAGACTTTACTTCAGTCTCAAGGTTGACCAGAAACATTTTTAAGCGGTGCAATGCCAGCAAACCATTCCAGAATAGTAACCGTATTCTATTTCAGTCCATTCACAGCATAAACAGAGGTAATCAACCAATAACGACGAGGCCTCCCGAAAGACTTATCAATATGTAACTGATTTGGAAAAGCCCAGTCCATTTAGTAATTCCACCACTTACGATTAATTATTTACATTTGTCTTTCAAAAAAACCAAGCTGACGCACTTCCAAAAAAAGTTGGCGTATGTAGTCATTGACGCAACAGTTTTAGTACCGCTGACTGTAGAACAGGTACGTCCCTGGAATGACGTTATTTTGGCGACGTGAGGGGAAGTAGACGAGCCCACAATCTCTCGATTCTGATTGGTCCAAATATATCGTACGATTCTGGTGTGACTGGAGGGGCAAATTTACACATCTGTTGTACGCTTATCTAAGGTAATGGAATCGCGGTACTATAAATGACGTCAGCAGTTTCGTTGTCCGAGGTATTCAATTTATTATCTCTGATTTTATGATGTATGAGCACTTTACTAGTCATTGTTCTCGGTGAAAAAATCTTGCATTATCCTGTGCCCATTGTGTGGTCCATTTGTAAAAAGTGAAAAAACAATGCGATTCTGCGGTTTATTCGCCCATAAAAGCCACCCTGAAACGTGTCTCCTGTTAGAACCGGTCTTAACGAATTTATGGCTGTGTAATACTTGTATGTGCTTTCAGATATTTGATTCGATGAATGTGACCTTTATCTGATTAATATGTCCTCAGCATGTAGCAAAGTTGTCTATTCGTTGCGAATAATTTATTTTAAATGACAACGATTAGTGTTATGCAATTTTATTTGTATCACAACGGTGGTTTTGTTTGTAGCAATTAAAGGATTTTAATTATCTCCACTGAACGCCGTAAAACAACACGTGTGCTCGTGAAACGTTGACATCTCTGGCTTTTAAAATTAGCTTGTTTTAAATTAATTTTGTTTTTTGTTGCCTCACCCTTTGGCGACGATATACATAGGTATAAAGGAGATTTAAATGCAGGGAGCAAACTAATGAGATAAAATCATAAAACTTTTCGAATGAGAGTTGACGATTTTTTATTTCGCGGATCTGAGCTTCAGAATTAAATTACAGTGCGTTACTGATCCCGTCCGTGGTTTAATTTTAAAAGAATACAGTGTGATACATTCTACACTTCTACGAACATGCTTCGAGAAAATGTCCGCATTTGGTTGTTCCATTATTATTTTTAAAAT